AGGACAATAGTCCTATCTCCCTACATGAGAACTACCGCCAGCTAGTCAAATTATTTTCTTGCACAAATAGAAGGAAGCTGTTGAGAACTTCTGTTGTCAATGGCAAATAATAGTACATGAATTTGGAACCCTGGCTTCGAGTTGTAAGTCTTAAACATCTGGAAGTTACTTTTGCAATGGCTCAGTAACCTCCCTGTTTTATTATGGCAGCCACTTAGGAATAAAACATTTGGGCTCAGCCGAATACATTAAAGAAACCTGAGAAACATTAACCTGAATACTTGGGTACCTTGCATTAACTGATCTCATACATTTCTATTAACACCAACAAAGTCAAGAAAAAAATGGAAGCAGGTACCACTAAGGACTTGTCTAAGAAAAGGCAGTCTCAACAAGAATTGTTCTTTTTTTCAAAATTATTTACTGGTCTTGGAGGATTTAAAAAACAGAACCATAATATTAAAGTGGAAGACTCATGCTTTAAAATATATAAGTATCTAAGAATTGCTTACTGTAAGTGAAATAATCCCTGAAACAAAGACCTGGCTGTAAATCATGATCTGATATTCAGCTCTAACTCGGGAGATGCTTCTGTAAACCTGCAGTTGGTCTCATCTCACTGCAATGCCAGCACGGTCAGTTTAATTTCAGCAGCTGACAGTGATACTGTGATTTGGTTGTAGGTGAGTAGCGTGGAGTAGCACTCAAAAAGCAAAAATATCCACATTATGAAAACACATACTTCAACCACACAAAGTCCTAGTACAAATAATTAATTTCCAAGATATCTTTACTGCAAAACAAACTTCTTAAAGGAATACTGAGTTTAGAACTGCAAACATAAACAACAAAGAACATTTTGTGACACTGTCCATTAGTTAATCTCTAAAGAGTAAAGGCTTTAGAAATATCAACCCAGAAGACAGAGACAGATGTCTTTTTAATACCTCCTCAACATGCAGAAATTGGTTTTGTAAAATATACTACTATATCTGATCATTAGCTGTATCAGTTTAACCAAACTTCATTTTAGGTTCAAGCTACTGAATAATACACAGTTTAATTTTAATCAAAACTTTAAAGCTATGAACAGACAAAAAAATGTAAATGAATGTTCTAAAATTCACAATATCAAGTTAGACACATGCAAAAAACCCGTATTTTCCTTTCTTAATAAATTTACAGTCATGAGAAATGTATCGTGCAATTGTTATATTTTCATAAATCATTAACAAAATGCAAAAAACTTACCTCCCATTCTCTTTTTTTTTAAAAATACGGGAAATATTTAGGCAGCATTTCATGGTTATGATGCTAATTCAAAGATTCATAAAGCGTGCTGAAACAGTAACATAGGAAGACCAAATTCCATACCATGTGTCCCTCAGCTCGAGCTTTGTTTTCCATGGCTTCTCTCTTTCGTTGCCAGAATTCTTCAACTTGCTTTGCTCTATCTGCAGCTATCCATCCGTTTTGCCTGAGTAATTGCAACACATAGCAAGATGAAAGTCTCTGAAACATGACACTCAAAAATCCCCCCTGCATTTATCTTAACTAGGACACACAAAAAAGGTAACTTTCTATGAGTAATGCATCTTCAAATAATGCATTTCATCAGCCAAAACACACAGCCTCCACAAAAAGGAGGAAAATAGGCTCAACTAAGTTAAAGGAACAACTTGAAAAACCAAACCAAAACACCATGTTGCCCTTCCAGATCCTGGTCATCAAAACAAATAAATGTCAAAACACAATCTTCATGCGATTATTTTTGAAAATGTCTCAGCTTATTTCATTATTGTTATCGTTTGCGAGAAAGAAGACTCCTTCAAGGTTTCCGTTCAGAGGCGAGCAAGAACTCATGAGCCAGTCAGTAAGGTTAATACCGCAGCAGTCTTTCATGACTGATGTCTGTTTGGAGTAAGAGCTTCTGCCACTTAGATAATTAGTACAGTGCTAGTATTCTCAGAGTGTTCTGGCAACCCCTCTTGGGGGATCTTGGGGGATTTCTGTTTGGTTTTAAAGGGCCTGTAAAGGAATGTTTCCACCTTAGAATTAGCCAGAACATGAGCATTTTTTCACATGTTCCACCCCAGGCCAGGGACCTGCTGGGGTAGACAAGAAGGCTACAGTTCCAAGTTGCCAGAACTGAGCATCTGGCAAGTCTCCTAGTACATACATACTATCATTTTGTAGAGGAACCAGTTTCTGACAAATTGGTTAGATGTGGACTCAGAGAAAGCTTTTTATTAAAAAAAAAAAACCAAACAACAAACAAACACTGAGAAATGGTGTAAGACATTCTATCAAATGGTAGAATGATGAGGCAATCTCCCTTTCCAAGGTTCCCCTAGCCTTATTTGACAGCGGAGTATGGGGTGTCCAGCAACAGGCAAGATGAAATTGGAATAAGCCGATAGCAATAACCCATCAGGCTGAGACAGTTAAAGAAAGAATCGTTTTGCAATACAGGAGCTATTGCTGATAATTCATAAATGAATTAGCACACTAATTAAACATCCTTGCATCTTGTTTTTTCTCTCCCCTGAGCCCTCCTACCCCCAGCAACAAGGAAATGAAATATTTTCATATGCTACAATTAAGAGGAAGATGGAGATAAAATTACTTTGATATAATAAAAAAAAAAAGCTGTAGCTGCTCTGAAAATGGAGGATGATCCATGCAGGTGTTACTGGTAAAGAAACAAACACTTAATAATCTTTGTATACACATATTTGACTCACTACAACACTTATACCGCAACTGTTCATTACACATGAACTCAGCTGGTGGACAGTGAAATCTGTCCAAACCTGTGTCATATAGCTAAAGTTTAGCTTACAGTGTTGGAGGAGAGGTGCTTCCCAAGAAAAAAAAAAAAAACAAAAAACAAAACCCTATTTGTCTCAAACCAATTTCAAAGGAAAAACTTATTTCAACTAAATTTTATGAAAATAGTTTTCCCTGCTCTAAAATTGAGTGACTCATTTTGCTAAAACATTTCAACTAGAATTGTTCTGGTCTATATTTCTGTCCAAGAGACAATTTTAAAGATTGTTGATGTTTAATACACTTACCCTTATGTTAGTTGTGGTAGTGTAATCAGAAAGATTGCAGTTTGAGGATTTCTCAACCTCTTTAATGTAAGTTCTAAATTACCTATCTTTAAGAAAGTTGCAATCATTTGATTTCTTTCTTTGAGCTAAACATCCAGAACACTTATCATTACATTTCACCTCCAGCTGAAAGAATAAAGTGCAGGAGAGAAATACTGCTAGGCTAGCTATGATAATAAAATTGCTTCTAGATAATAAAGTACAAATACTTAGCACATTTTAAATAAGGAACAGCACCTCAATTTAAGGCTAAAGGTAATCCATTTTATCAATAGAAAAAAATATCTCTACCTATTTTAAAACTTCCAAAGAGTATTTCCATTAAGTGCTTCCCAGTTCATATATTTGAGAAATACTGAACCAGTTTCTCTTCATGATCAACACATTATTCATAATTTGCAGCCCTCTACTATAGTTCCTTTCAATTTGGACATATTTAAAACAGTTTACCCAGATGCAACCAAGTATCATTTAATATTGTCAAATGTGTGAAGCAAACCTTGTTTCCTAACATAGGCAAGATTTGGGGATTGTGGCACTTCATGCAAAGCACTGAGAATAGCGGAGGATGGAAATATACATGTCCATCAGCTGGGAAAATACACCTTCCAGTACTGGGTTGTACCAGGAGGAATTTTAATTTGCTCACAACAGCCTGAATTATTATAAAGAATATACCTTGTAGCTTGCAAAATTGTTACATCAGTGTTAAACGTGTTTTGCCACAAGTTTTAAAATAGAAAAAAATCTACAAAGGCAAAATATATTAAAACATAAAACCGAAAAAAATTAGTTTAGGAGAACAAATGTTTTCTTTTGCAACTTCCTTTTGCTCACATTAACTCCATTTCTTCCTCCATGGGATACATCATTGGATCTGCATAAGTTTAAATCACGCATGAGAAAATTTGTCCCTCTAGGAAAGTTAATTAGTAACGCTCACGTTCTAAACTTCTAGAAAGCAGATACTTTCCTGTTTACGGTCACAAGTGCCGACACAGATCTCTGGGCAATATTAACAGATCTGAAGGACAGCAAACAAGTTTTGAAGAAGCTACTTGAAAGAGTGAAATCATTAAAAAAAAAAAAAATCAATACTAGTCTACAATCCTTTTATATATAAAATATTCTATGCAATTACTATAAATTGAGTATCACCGCATTAGAAGTTGTGCACCATTATAACACGTGGCATTCGTATCTCAACGAAGAAAGCTCCTAGAAGTTTTCCACTGATCAATAAACAGGAGCTTGCAATTTTGGGAGCATTCTAGACACTCTCCTATGCTAGAGACTCAAACACTTAGATTTAGATAAGGCAGTCAGAAGGAGACAACGGGAGAAGGAAGGATCTTGGCAGGGAACACAAAAAGTGGAACTATGAAAAAAGCAAAGGAGGAGGCTTACAATGTTATCTGCAACTGCATTAAGCCAAGTATTTTGGCTGAAATCTAGTTTAGTTATAGTTGTTAGTAATCCATTCTTTCCACTATTGGGGAAGCCAAGGTTTCCATTGGTTCTAAAAGAATTGTGGTCTGCGAGGGACTGACACACACACAGACAGCACAGTACCAATGGAAAAAAGTGATTTTGAGACAAGTCAAACCACTAAATGAAACAAGACACAGAACAAGAATCTAACATGTAGGGACAGATTTATGGATTATCATAGTCCAACCTGTTTGCATTGGCTTGTTTAGACACCTCCTTCAATCTTTTCATTTTTTTCCTAACTGCACCAGCATCAGGCAAATGGTGATGACCTGCAGGCCCCTTAGGAACTCCTGGACGTATTCCAGGTGGAATTCCTCTGTAGATAAATATGTACAGTAACTTTTATTACTTTCATCTAAATCAGACCACATACAACTTCTAACGGAAGGTAGCCATACCTTTCAACAACTTCTCGGCCTCGTACTTTCGCCCTCAATTTGGCTTCCCTCTCTTCAGCTACTCTAATGTTTTCCTTTTGCTGTCGCATATGGTCAAAAATAGCATGATAGTGTTCATATTGTCCTCTGGAAGACACAGGAAAAGGACCAACACCACCTCCACCGCCATAATATGGTGCCTGAAAATCAGAAGGGGTAGGGTGGAAATCTCAAATACTGGTTTTAACAGGCCCTTCCAATTTTCACCTCTTCAGCAGAATGAAAGCATTAATATGTCCTGCAACAATTCTGAATTGGTCCTAGTTTTATTCCTGGCATGCCTCTATTTTAACAAACTACAAAATAGATAAATTAAAAACTTATACTTCTGTTAGCACTCTAGAATAACACAGCATTTTACTTCTCTCTGATAATAGTCTAGTTATACATGAGACACGTTTTGGAAGTTATTGGTAACAAATCCACTGAGGTGTAATTGGAGATAGATGTTCTACACACCAAAAATAAAAGTTTTAGCACAAAAGCTAAAAACGATACAGTGCTAACTGAAGTACTAATGAGTGATTCGTAGCCAAACACCCATTTTTCACAAAGCTGGAAATAGCTAAGCACACTTTTAACGTTGCTGAATGGCATTAAGTGGAGATTTATCCGAGACTCGCCATTGTTACCAACCTGTCATTTGGTTTCAGCACCAGAATTGAGATGCTTCCCTACCAAAGCTCAGAGCAGAGGAGCATCTACCACAAGCTACTGCTTTACATGAATTATTTCTGTCATTCTCAAAGAATTAGAATTCCTACAGAACCTTCATGTGGAAATAAGAAAAAAAAAATGTTGCAAGCAGCTGTGTACAGTAGTAGCCAAGGATGGATGCAGAAAATGTGAAACTGGCAAAACAAGGTTAAGGTTGTCAGCACATGCATAAAAATGTTCCCTTTACACTTGGGGGAAGCAACCAAATAGCCCAATGTAGTGAACCTATGGAATTTGTTTTAAAAATAGTGTCAACGTTCCTTCCAGAGTGGTCTTAAGTATTTTAAATAATTTCTAATAGGTGAGTGCAGATGTGACAAGTTTAAGATTGCCTGCTTCAGAGTTCTTGAACAGATTATATTTGACAATGGAATTTAGCTCACATTGAGTTTCAGTTGCTCAACACCCATCATCAATAGATCCCCATAATCCATATGACAGAATACTAACTGCAAGATTTATCCAGGCATTCAAATAAACATGCAGGTATGCTGTTTATCTGAATAAAAATAATTTACTATACAAGACCATAGTTTGTACAAATAGAAGGTAAAGTCTTGCTTTAGACACCATTCAAGGTTTCACCTATCGTTATTAGAGCTCAGTTTTCAAAAGGGTTATCTAGAGTATGATCAATCTCTAGGCAAATGCTATGAATCAGGTGCTCATCAACAGTCTGCAGAACAGTTGCAGCCCCTGCTAGAACCATAAACCCAAACCCTTTCCACCTCTTTCTCTACTTTGCCTCAGAAACGGGTGCCAGCAACCAACCCCAAAAGACAACAGAAGGAAAAAATCATGCAGTGCATGATCCTGCTGTGCCTTCATAACAGGCTATATGGCTTGCACTACTAGAAAGCTTGAACAATGCTATTCAACAGCATCATCAGGCAGTTGCTGGATACACTGATTTCATGTTGGAGAAAAGAAAAGGATAATGAAGTCAAGAATACTATAAGAGCATATGGAAAGCTGGAGTGATGATAGCCTAGTGGCCTGCAGTAAGGTTTGTACTAAACTATCCAATCTGGAGAAAGCATTGAAACGAATTTTACAGCATGTTTGCCATGGCATTTTACACCAGTGACACTTAGTGAACATATACACAGCCACTGAGCCTGTTTCCCTAGATGGCTGAGAATACTGATAATGATGTAGCTGTAGTTACAACAGAACACTTTACATATTTGCAATATCTAAGGACCTTGCAATAAAATTCTCAAAGTTAATCAGAAACCTGATTGTTTTCAGGAACATAAATAGCTCTGATCCAAACGTGACGATGCTGATATATTGTGTTGTATGGAAGCCTGCATTGGTGTCTGCCAGTTTCATCCTCAGAGAAAAGGACAGCATAGAAACCAAGTGACGTTGTTTCCCCCTCACCCCCTGCCATTAAACCGGCACCTGGCAGTTTTTAAAGTCTGATATGCTTAAGTTTGCTTTTGTATTTATGCTTTACTTACATGATGTGTGGCACACATCAAAGATGGTGTCTATTTTGAAAAAATATACTTAATAAGCAGCTACTGAAACCTGGTCAAGTGCTTCTGTATTCCTCATATTCTTGTACAAGGAACAGAAAAGAAAACCTCTATTCATCTTGACTCTACTGCTCAGTCAGAGCTTGTTTACAAAAAACTCTACTAAACCCGTTTAGGACGAGTATTTTTGTAGGACTCACTAGCACCACAACAAATAGCTGTGTTTTAATCCATTTTCTATTGTCAGATAGATTTACACCACAGCAATACTTCAACATGTGCACGCTCTGTTGGATGAAAGTATCCAGACCTTTATATTCAAAAAACTTCACAAGACTACTTTCCAGAACAATGTTTCCATGAAACTACGACGCACACAAACAGACTAAAAGAAACTGTCATAGGAGTGAGATTAAATTATGTAAAAAGTGAATGGCTAAAGAGTCTAATGCTAAAGAGTCTACTGCTTTCAGAAAAAAATAATTATAGATTTACTCAGGATTTTTCACCTCCCTCCTGAACAACTTGTCAGTATATATAAACATTGTTGTTCATGTTGCTAAATAACAAAGAATGCTTAGAAGCAGGTATTTAATACTGGGGAAGAGATCTATTATCATAATATGAGAACCTGGAAAAAGATTTCAACAAAACAATTCCAGAACAAACTTGAATGTGAAAAAAGCTGTTCATGCATAGATTCAGCACAGGAAAAGTAGCAAAAGCAGGAGTGGAAAAAAGAAAGCGGTGCATGAAAGCCATTATTGGCAGAAAGAAGAGATTCAGAAATGTAGTAAGTATTAAAAATGAACGTTGCACATGATCTCCAAAAGGCCAGGGAAGAGCATCAGTTATACAGTTTCTCTATAATTAACCACAGATTAATAATGGGCAGTCCCAAGAGTTGACCTCCAAGAGCAGATCTTTCTGAAAAGAGAAGACCATGCCAGATAACCAAAGGTGGGGGAAGCAGACTACACCACATTTCTGCATCTGCTGCCAACCTTAACATCACCACTTCCACCTGAACCAAGCACATTCCTCCATCCTTGTTCCCTGGCTCTGTTTATTCGTTCCATCTGAAGGAGAAAACAATACAGGAAAACACAATTCAAGAAATCACTAAGTAAAAATTGAACTTCACTATTAACACATTTTAAACATATTTTACCCTTTCTTTTTCCAATCTTCTCATTTCATCTGCCTTCAGTAAACTGACCTGCAATGTGTAAAAATTAAATATGTTTAGGAACTGGGAAGTCAAACTACTCCACATTCTTACGCAACATATAACACACCACACCACAAGATATTTCATTAAAATTACTGTGAGTGGAAAAAGAAAGTCTCAAGAATCTTGTTTACCTGATCTCTCTGGCGTTTTTGTTTTTCAGGCAATTCTAACCTTTTCTTTTTTGAAGGTTCCTGAAAAATAAGCATATAATTTGGTATTTATTACTGAGTTATTACTCTGTCAAGTCTGTCAAGATAGGTTAGTGTTCCTATGGCTGGTGTATGTCAGAAAAAAAAAATCCAAAACCCACAACTTAACAGGTGCAAAATGGGGTTTAAAATAATTAATTACTCAGGAGGTTTTAAATGAAAAGCACTGCTAGGATCTAGGGGTAAATGCTACTGTACTTGGTCATCCCCTACTAAAAGCACTGTCTTGAAAGCTGAAGGGTATAATTTTTAAATCTGTTTTGTCTTAATTTTTCTTCTCTGGCAGTATCATTCTGCATCACATCCTGTTACTATTCTAAGTCTTCGAGGCTCCCTAGATATTAAGATTTTTCTTTTACTTGGAGAACAGATTTATTAGGCTATCCTTAGGCTCTTTCGCTTGGATAACCCTAACCAAGGTTCTTGTTACTTATGGAAGAGGAGAACGCAGCCACTATTGAATACCTGGTAAAGAAGCACCTATACGTAATAAACCATGCTGCTTACTCTAGTCTTCTCAGAAAAGTGATGATTGCTTTTAAAGCTTTTTTTTTTTCCTGACCATACTAGAACACAGAGAGCTTCATATTATTTTCTTTTGATGACAAAAATCCTATCACATGAGTACTGTATAATCAAGTAATTCAGAAGATGGAAACCTTTAGTGACTGAAGTCAATGTAGTTCAACTACAGTGAGTTAAGTAGCATTGCTAAACAAAGGTGATTGTTGCATGCTCCTCTGAAAAGCCAGTTGAGAGCTGCAAGCTCAGACTACCTTGGAACAACAGCAAAGAGAAGAAAATTTACACTGCAGCCATTGTTTCTATCCTACATCTTAGCCCTTGTCACTAGGTACAACCCACACAAAGAATAGGTCTTAAAATTGCAGCATTACTGACTCTTCACATGCAGCAAGAGGATTATTTCCTCAGTCTCTACCCTGCCACTTTGAGTCTCTACTCAAGTTGGATCGGTGTTGGCTGGTGAAACCGATTATACAGAGCAGCAGACTAGCAGGCGGTTGTGCAACCCAGACTTAAAACATTAAAACCTCATGGTGTCATTAGGACACACAAGAAGTCTGTGCATTCCCTTCTTCTTGCTCTCTTTTTCACACTGCGTATCACAAGCCAACAAGGCTTGTGTGATCAATGAGCTTTCCCCTAAACTTCTGATAACTTTTGAACCTCAAGGAGAAGTTATATATCGGGGATAATTTTCTATTCACCTATCAAATTTGATAGATGGACAGAGAACTCAGTATCGTGTTCCCTGAAGTGCCACGGGGAGAAGGAAAGAAAAAAACTCCACAACCCACAACAACAACAAAAATATTATTCATACAGAGGAAAATTTGAATTAGTCCTCTTGCTGAAGTGGGAGCTTCTTGGTTACTAGGTGTTTGGTGCGTGCATATAGCTCAAAACTAGCTGTATCATAAATATGTCCTGGCTGTGCATTAACTAACAGAATAACGAGAGAGAACAAAAGAGTTTTATCTAGTAAAGAGCATAGAGAAGATGACCAGAAGAAAGATCAAAAGTTCTGTATGAAGGTATACAGGAGACTATTTCTCATTAGCTCATGGAATTAAGTCTGGGAAACTCCACTCTCAATTACACAATTTCCCTGGCTGACAACGCTTTAGAAAATGACTATAAAAGTTTTATATGTTTTGAAAATCTTAGATTATTTTTGAACAAGGAAGAAAGATGCAAAGATTCTTATACAGTGTCAATGATCTTGGTATACGTGACAGACTTCTGGTATTTCTAAGAGTGGTCAACACCAACAAACGAACTGAAAACATGCAAAGCACATCTAATTCAGCAGTGGAATTAAAAAACAAACCTAAGGTAGCAGTCTCTAAAAAACAATATTAAAACCAATTAAACAGAAAAAAATCAATAATGAAGCAAGCCAAGCATTTAAACTGTTACTTCTTTCTCTGTGCATGTGTCCACATAAAAGACATTCTGAAAAGAAATGCATAGTATTTTCTTAGCATTCAAACACGGTATGAGCAAACCAGTTCAATTTAAGTAATTTAGCTTCCTACCTGCCTAGATTTAGCCAATGGCTTCTTCTCATTAGGCTTTTTAGGTGCACCACAAGACTTTCTGATCACTAAAGGCACTCCATATTTTGCAGCAGGTTTGGTAATTTTCGGAGCTGGTGCAACGGAAGTCAGTATTTGTTCTTGAGATGGTCGTTTAGCTAAAAAGAAAAAACCTGGTTTACAGCTATCCTGGCTGGCCGGTGTACCATATTTCCCCTTCCCAAGGTCTTGGAACAGCAAAGCTGGAGGAAAGTGGGTGAACTGCCAACATTTCATTCACATGAGCTGATGCATAACTGCAATATACCCAGTTGTCCAAAGCAGCTTGTCTAAATTTCATGCTTGGTAAGAAACAGCAGAACACAATCCACGAGCTTTTCACTCTCAACACTTCACTTTAAACTGGAGGATTGAAGCTTATTTCAGCTGCCATGCTTCATTATCCAGTTGTCATGCACACCGGGAAAGGTTTTCCTAATGGAATGGAGAGACAGGCCTCCCACCACTAACTACACTGGACTGTAACCTGTAACACTAATGTCAGCTTTAGATGAGTTCTGAAAGAGCTTCAGGGTCTTCAGGGTTATTGTTTTCCCTGTAGAGTTCCTGAAAATACACCAATATTTTGGATTTGATTCTGTGCCAGCAGGGCGCTCTTACTATGGAATAGCAGGACGGCAGTGAAACACGTAACACTTTGAAAAGACATCAAAGCACTTGTGACAGCTTCAAGTAATTACAAGGAAATAAAATGAAGAAAGGGGAAGAAAATCTAGGGTAAAAAAAGGGTAAAATAATGCAGGAAAATGAAGTAAGGTAAGATCACCTTGACAAAGTGAACCACGATCTAATTTGCTACCAGTAGCAGAAATTCATCTGCTTCGAGCTGAAGTCAGGGCTTAATCCTGGAATCTCTATGAAAACGTCTCACATTTTTACAAGAAATGGTATTTCTGATTACAACTGAAATATTCCAGGACCACAGTTTATCCTTGCATCATTTCTGCCCTACACACATCCAGCTCCCCAGGGCAGAGGGGAAAACTGTTTCCCTCTCTTTTCCTGGAACTTCCAGAATCAGGTATAAGAACACACCAAAACTAATAAAAGAACAAAGCCACATGCACTATCTTGCCAGAGCTGAAAGCAAAAGCACGTTACTGCTTACTTACCCGGTGCAGCATGTGGTTCAAACTTCTGGAAGATTTTGTGATTGAATTCTTCTGCAATAAGCTAAACAAAAAGTTGAACAATTAGCTAACAGTATTTATGTCTGAAGCTAGAAAGAATGCCTTTTCAAAGAAGCATGCCAGTCCTAGTAAGAATCTAATAGTATTTACTGTAACTTACATTTAAATGAATACTCAACTTTATATATGCAATCTAGTATCGCTAACACTAATATGAAAGCTAGATTCAGTAATTTCAAATATTATTGGCATAACTACTCAAATAATTTTTGAAAAGCAATTTAGTCCATCTTCTGGGTAGCATGTTACCTCATTTATGAGTTAGTCAAGAATCTAGAAGAAAGCTAATGTGAACATTAACATAGTTTTATGCATAGTTTATTTTAGATTTCTGTATAGTTGCCAAATTTCACTTCAAATGCTCAGACAGCTTGTGTCAAAAAAATAGTCCTTTAGAAGTGTTTGCAGTTTTTAGTTTCTCTATCCTTTTCAAGATGGGAAGATGACTACATATGTGGATATCTAGGAACAACATATATGGTGTGCTGTCAGGCATATCAAATTAGCACAGTAAAACGTGGAAAAGAGCCTTAGAGGCTACCTGTCAGTTACAATGGATGCTGAGGAGTTAAAACAAAAAAACCCCCAAGAACTAAAGTGCAGAACTTAGGACTCTCCACACGAGGGCAGAGAAACTTTTCAACCTGTACAGCCCATCATAAAAAGATTCTCTAAGCAAGAAGTCACACATGAAAATGGTCTCCTACTAATTGTTTCAGTGATTCTGAAGCTTTTATTACAGTAGTAAGCTGTAACTACTGAAGTGTGATGTTTCCATGATAACACAGCTACTGACAGAAGAGAAACCTGACTCCAGTACCTTTTAAAAAGCCCCCTTTTTTTTTGACACTAATTTAGATCCACTCTATTGAAACTTACTATGAAAACTAAAAATTAAACAAAACTGGAAAACTGATATCCTGTCATGTAAGAGCGGGATTTCAGCAATAATTGCAACATGTTGAAGATGTCAATTATGGAAGATCTCTTAAGATTAGACTAAGGAAGGCAGAGGACAACAGCATTAGCCATGGATGAAACTGAAAGAAAACAGGCATTACAGCTGTGTCACAGAATGACCACCTCCAGCTGAATACGAATGTACCAGTGATTGACACATTTAGTAAAACACACTTTCTGGGTGTGGGGTTTTTTTGCTACTTTTAAGATTAAGTAGCATCTCTAAGTCAAACATGACTTCGCGACTCAGCTGGAAAAACTGTGTGCAAGTATTCATACTCAATGTAGGACAAATTAGTACCATCATCTGATAGTAGTCTATTATTAATTACACTTTGCCTCACTCCAAATAAAAATTTCATATCCATTCTAACTACCGGAAATAAAATCAGATCAAACTATTACTGTTGTAAAAGTTAGAACAAACTTATGTGTAAAGACTTCTGAATCTTACCTTTCTTTGGGACTTTAACCTGAACTACTGTTAGTTTAAAGTCTATTTCATATACAATTGAAATTCCAACTACATATGGCCTTCTTGTGAAATTCCTTTAGTTGCGAGTTAGAATCCAATAGAATTTTTTATATTAGTGAGGTCTCCATTTGCATTAATTTCCTCCACATCCTTTCTCTGTCTGTATTTATTTACCTTTTTATCAGTACTGTTATTCACTTGTTAATCTTGATCTCTTTTGATTAGAGTTATATTAAAAGAACACGAACAGACATGAAATGATATCAGCAGATTCTAAACAGAACATACAGGAATGTGGTCAGAGCGTGCAGGGATGCCACGAGGAAGGCCAAAGCCCACCTGGAATTGAAGCTGGCAAGGGATGTCAAAAACAACAAAGAAGGGCTTCTTCAACTACATCAGCAGCAAAAGGAAGGCTAGGGACAATGTGGGGCCGCTGCTGAATGAGGCAAGTGTCCTGGTGATGGAGGATGCCAAGAAGGCAGAGCTACTGAATGCCTTCTTTGCTTCAGCCTTCAGTGCCAAGGCAGGCCCTCAGGAATCCCAGACCCCGGAGGTAAGAGAAGAAGCCTGCAGAGAGGACGACTTTCCCTTGGTCGAGGAGGACTGTGTGAGGGATCGCTTAAGCGATCTGGAC